ATGTTTTCCTGTACATAATTTTCAACAATTCCATATAAAGCTTTCTTATATCATATCCATGCTGTATAATAATACCTATTATTTCTAATAGTAGCATAATTTGGACACACAAATAGGTAATGAATGGTATTTTTATAACAGGTCCCACACATGCGGGATAGGTCATTTGACATGAATCAGTTTTATGTGAATTTAAATCACTACAAGCTGATCTGAGTCATGAAAGGATATGCCTTCGATTCTGTGAAAATGGAAATGCTAAAACATCTCCCAATATTAACCATGCTATTACAGAATCTGTTCACTTGTTTTTGTATGTAAAATATTTTTGAACGATTACATCCATCTAATGATTGTTTGTATTTGTGATATGCCAGTAGAGGTATATGTGTACAAGCATGTGCATACACATAAAAAAAATTATGTTTGTTTGGCTAGGTACCAGTATATGAATAGGTTGTTTAGTGCGACTTGTATATTAGCATCATCATAGTTTCAACAGACAGTTTATGTATATCAAATGTTAAATGTCTTTGTAGGGAGAATTGCATATCAAAACTGTCATTATTTTATTACTTATGAGTAGAACTTTTTAAGTATCTGGCATGATACATTTCCTTGGTCCACAGACACATGTTACCAGTAAACTGACTTGATAAGTAGCATAACAGTCAGTGCGGTTGGAAACTAATTAAGCCGTCACTACTCAATTAAGTAATTAACAGACAATTGCAAGTGATAATACTCACCTGACACTAATTGCCCTGTTAATCCCTAATCCACCATGAGTTGACATTGAGCTCATCTTGCTAATGAGCTGTTGTGAGCGTAACGAGATGATAAACATCAAAGGTGGGGCAGGCTTTGATCAAGTGTTCTGTAGAAGAGATTATGTCTCTTGTTTAATGTTTATTTAGGATTAGCTTCATCCCTTGATGCGACCAAGACCATACTTGAGGTTATCAGACAGTTTGTCTGGATACAGCCTGATGTCTCAACTGTACTTATTGGATTCTGCCTTGTAGCAAACTATGTGTGTGACAAGGACTTTGACCACTCTGTGCAGATGCATAACAATGCATAATGAACTTGGGGTATGATTCAATTATGTCACACAAGTCAAAGATAGGTTCCACTGTATTTAGAAACAGACGATAGATGCAATACTGTGTAACTTTATAACAATCAAATGATTTACAATTACCCTTGAAAAGTTCCAAAACCAAATAGAACTACTTAAATTATGATTACACTTGACCAATATATTTGGCAGTTTTTGCCGTTATTGTTAATCTGAATTAAAGATAGGATAAATGATGAAAATATGATAATGCATATCACACACAAGTGTGTATTATACGCAAATAAATAAGTCTTGTATACATTGATTAATTGGAAAGGGTCCTAATTGGGATTGTTCACTAGCCAATATATTAGCAAATATTCCCATGGGCGCTTATTAGAGCGAGGCGCTTATTACGTCAAATACTTTAGTTCTATTTTTATGTATAAGAACCTATTTTATGCAATTTGCATTGCCATGTTTACCTTTCCTTATGTTTTGATGTAATGCAAACATTTGAGAAAAATTCAGGTGAGCCTGCCTTATGGCACTACAGGAATTGTTTTCAGAAGATCAATTACAATTTTGTATTTTCTGTACAATTTACTGTTTGCTATGGCTTTTTTACATTGGTTAACATGGTTTGGTTAACAGTTGCTTGATAAATTGTCATTACCTTACTCATTGAGAAACCAAATTTTTACCCTTTGTCAATATATGTGTGTTTCTTATATTTTTAATAACAAGCTTTTAAAGATGTTATAAATTGTTTCAGGCACCTGGATTTCACAATGACACCAGATCAGACAAGTCATACAAAGGACTCTCCGGATGATGAATAATCCTCCCCAGAACAACTAACAGGTTCACCTCAGAAAGTGATGATTCTGAATGAATAATGCCACATCAGTGTGATTCTGTAGGTTGTTTTATTACGACATTAATCAAGTCTAAAGGAATCAATACCACAGCAGTGAGACTGTTTATGTGGTGTACACTGACGCTGACTATACAAATCTGAATGACTTTTGTGGTTTACTGCACAAACATAATTGACTTTAGATATTCTTCTACCTTGAAATTCTTCTGAGATTTGACTAATTTGTTTATTTAGAAAATGGCATTGAAGCATCTGTTTCTGTTTTTGAATGTTCTTGCAAACACCTCTGGTTACTGAACCAATGAAATGTCATAAAATCAATAAATATGATTTTTTATCTTAACAATTTTTTTGTTTTGCTTCTTTAAAGAAATATGATATTGATCATTCATAACATAGGTGCTGACATATATCAAATATACTAATGCCCTGAATGTTTTCCTACAATTAATACAGCTCACTGAACGAAGTTTTTAGTTCCATGTCAGTAGAAAAGTTACATTGATATTTTTATGTACCAGTACTTTATTAGGTGTTTTCTGTGGATGCCATTAGTCTTATGCACCCATTTGGGTTAATGATATTCTGTTTCGAACTTCAATGAAACTCGTCTGTCAAGATGTAACAAGTATTGATACAGTTCCAAAATAAACTTTTAATCTCACCAGGAACAAAGGCCCAAGTGAGCACATAGCCAATGACTTTCATTTTTTTGTCAGAGTGAGTATGGTGTTATGCCACTTTATGAGCAAAATTCAAACAATATTATGATGGGTGACACCAAGCAATGTACCGATGTGGTGAATCGAATGCTTCAACCACTAGGCTAAAACAAACTGGGAATATGAAGATGATATGTAAGGATACCATCATACCAGGACTGAATGCTTTTCATTTAATACGCTGAACATCTAAATTGAAATATATATGAACTTGAAAAATGTTTTCACCAAAAGTACATGCCCATAGATCTCAACTTCAAGGGGATATTTACAACTAAAATAGCACAGAATATTACTACAGCTATCTGCTATGCCCAGGCTAACATTATTTACTAGGAGAAAGACATCTCGAACAATTGCATCCGGATACCTGCCGGATACCTGCCGGATACCTTCAGCAATGTTCAATTTTCATGGTTAGTTTCCAATATATTTTTAGGTGTTTCACACTTAATTGAACAAAATGCACCCCCCAAATTGTGACAAGTTTTTGGAAACTCAGAATGAGGTATCCGGTACCGGATCCCTGGACACCCAGATTGAGGTATCCCGTGAGGTATCCGGTGCCGGATACCCGGATTCCAGGTGACATACTTTCCGGTGAGGTGTCCATGCCGGATACCACAGATCTGGTATCCGGCAAGGTATCTGCCACCGGATACCCGGACGCGTTTTGGGTAAGTGTCCGGTGGTATCCGGCAGGTATCCGGATACCGGAAACTGCATTTTTTTTGCTGTGATAGGATTAGCCGTTATTTAGGCTATTTATTTAAACGTTCTCTCGAAGCCTTGCCCGTCACAAGTTGAGTCTGCTCATGCAATGTATAAAACAGAACAGATATTTGCACGTCAACTATTAGCTCAGCCTTCACGTGTATAATTACACATTCATCAGGCGACTAACATGATCAGGTGGGCAGGTTCGCTGACGTGGTTGATGCATGTTATTTCATCTCAATTGCATTTGTCGATGCTTATGGTGTCAATCAGTGGATTGTCTTGTCCAGACCTAAATATTTACATACCGCCGACATATAGCTGGACTATTGCTGAGTGCGGCGTTAAAAAATCAAAACAAACAAACATTAGGTGTCTTAAACTACTTCGACCTTCTTTTTTCTCGTTTTCAAGCCTTTTTGCTCTGTATGGTATATGACAAAGCCTTAATAATAGTTCTTCCTATTTTCAGGGCATGAGGGATGCATTTGAGAAACATGTCAAAGAATTTGAGCAGAGTGACTATTGCTGCTTCGCTACTGCCATTTTATCACATGGCAAAAATGGTGGCGTATTCGGCACAGATGCCAACTTCGTGTCTTTCAATACGCTGAACATCTAAATTGAAATATATATGAACTTGAAAAATGTTTTCACCAAAAGTACATGCCCATAGATCTCAACTTCAAGGGGATATTTACAACTAAAATAGCACAGAATATTACTACAGCTATCTGCTATGCCCAGGCTAACATTATTTACTAGGAGAAAGACATCTCGAACAATTGCATCCGGATACCTGCCGGATACCTGCCGGATACCTTCAGCAATGTTCAATTTTCATGGTTAGTTTCCAATATATTTTTAGGTGTTTCACACTTAATTGAACAAAATGCACCCCCCAAATTGTGACAAGTTTTTGGAAACTCAGAATGAGGTATCCGGTACCGGATCCCTGGACACCCAGATTGAGGTATCCCGTGAGGTATCCGGTGCCGGATACCCGGATTCCAGGTGACATACTTTCCGGTGAGGTGTCCATGCCGGATACCACAGATCTGGTATCCGGCAAGGTATCTGCCACCGGATACCCGGACGCGTTTTGGGTAAGTGTCCGGTGGTATCCGGCAGGTATCCGGATACCGGAAACTGCATTTTTTTTGCTGTGATAGGATTAGCCGTTATTTAGGCTATTTATTTAAACGTTCTCTCGAAGCCTTGCCCGTCACAAGTTGAGTCTGCTCATGCAATGTATAAAACAGAACAGATATTTGCACGTCAACTATTAGCTCAGCCTTCACGTGTATAATTACACATTCATCAGGCGACTAACATGATCAGGTGGGCAGGTTCGCTGACGTGGTTGATGCATGTTATTTCATCTCAATTGCATTTGTCGATGCTTATGGTGTCAATCAGTGGATTGTCTTGTCCAGACCCAAATATTTACATACCGCCGACATATAGCTGGACTATTGCTGAGTGCGGCGTTAAAAAATCAAAACAAACAAACATTAGGTGTCTTAAACTACTTCGACCTTCTTTTTTCTCGTTTTCAAGCCTTTTTGCTCTGTATGGTATATGACAAAGCCTTAATAATAGTTCTTCCTATTTTCAGGGCATGAGGGATGCATTTGAGAAACATGTCAAAGAATTTGAGCAGAGTGACTATTGCTGCTTCGCTACTGCCATTTTATCACATGGCAAAAATGGTGGCGTATTCGGCACAGATGCCAACTTCGTGTCTTTCAAGGAAATTAAGGATATGTTTATGGAAAAACGCTGGATACATCATATAAACAAACCAAAGTTGTTCTTTATTCAAGCTTGTCAGCAAGGCGAGTGAGATACAAATATAGTATTGTGAATTCTAAATTGCAATAAGGTTAACTATTTCATACAATTACAACAGTTAGTCCTATTGGACACCTGAAAAACAGAGGAGCATCAGCTAAAAAAACCCCACTAATTTCCTACTTTCTCAGGTCCTACTTTGTTCGCTGAGATCAATGTCAATCCTCGCAAATCGGCCCGGGAAGCACATTATTACTGGGCCTCAGCAACCGTACCTGGTAAGTTCAAAAATTCTTTAACAAAAGGCTAAAACTAAATTGTATTTTTCTTTTGAAAGTATATGGATGAGTTTGGTTTAATGCCATGTTCACATAGAGTACACATAGTGTCACTCATGAACACATTCAAAATTTGCGCGTTCTAAATGTAAGTGAGCATACATACTGAAATATCGTTCATCCTTCTGTTATAGGTTACGTGGCGCTGAGGGATGAAGAAGATGGATCGTATTTCATTCAATGCCTTGTGGATGTATTCAAAAAGTATGCCCATAAATACCCTTTGGGACAATTGATGACTAAAGTGAGCATTACTTTTAATATATCAATTTATCTTTATGGATAACGGATATAATCTAACTTACCCCTGAACATACGTTTCTTCTGATCTGCTCAGAAACACCTGGTGACCTACCTTTAAGAGCATGCGTGGTTTGAACTGTAGTTGAATAAAAGAGGTGCAATATATTAATATATGGTAAATAATGGTCAATGATTGGTGCTTTTGCAGGTTAGGTGCGACGTTTCGCGCATCACATCGCTCAGAGACGAAGAAAGCAGAGTTCAAGTCACTCATTCAAACGAAACCTTAGAAAAGGAGCTGTTCTTCTATCCAGGGATCACAGGACATATCTGAACTCAAACTGTATACAAATAAGTTTAGAGATTGAACTTTAGCATATAAACCTAATTGCTTCCTGAATTCAAGCACACATTGACCTTGTGGCCACGTATAGATTGTCATTTCACGTCAGACAAAACATGTCAAATGATCTGTGAGATAAGATATTAACTCATTATCATCAGAAACAGAGACAAAAATAAAGAAGCACAAAGAGACTGAAAGCAGAAAGGCAGCAGTTTCATATATTGGCTGGTTCGCTCACATTAATGTTTTAACGGGGAGAAAGGTTACAGGCTTTTCTCATGGTAACCATATGGGGAATGGGGCCCGGGTCTTCAGGATGACGAGGTAATGCTTTAACCAGTCTGTCCTACTACTCAACTCCATTGTGTGAACACTATTGCATCATAGCTGCAGTGCATTAAAGTTTAAAACGTATTCATATTTTTCTTTTAGTTTAGTCAGTTTTCATATTGAAACTGTTATATATTGCAATAACATAATACAATACATGTTAAAATGAACGATTCAACAACAGCTGAGAAGTGAACTTCCTGTTGGTCATTCATACTACTGTTATTTATATGAAATATCAACAACGAAACAGAATTAGCTGCAATTTGTATGCGATAATGAACCAATGATTGAAAGCATGTAGCACAGTAACTTCGTCAACATGAAGTGTGCACCAAAAAGAAAACTAAGCAAGTTTTCGTTCTGCACCGCACGTTATTATTGTGACGTCATGTCGCTTATTGTGACGAAAATGATATAACGTTAAAAATGAAAAGGGCCATATTAACAGCTCTTGGGTGAGTGAGTGAGTGAGTGAGTGAGTGAGTGAGTATGGTTTTACGCCACTTTTAGCAATATTCCAGCGGTGGACACCAGAAATGGGCTTCACACATTGTACCCATGTCGGGATTCGAACCCGGATCATCGGAGTGACATGCGAACGCTTAAACCACTAGGCTACCCGACCGCCCCCCCCCCCCCCCCCCCCCCCAAAAAAAAAAAGAAAGAAAAAAGAAAAATTGAAATACATTCTCTTTGTAGATTTCTATCGTGTTTTCTGAACAGAATGCATTGCCACAAATCCTTTGCATTTTGCCACCTAAAATAATTGTACATATAATTGCCCCCAAACTGCCTTCCGATGGTGACTCAAAAAAGAAGTTATGAGCTAGGAGATACACATACTGTGTTTCCAATGGATATAATGAGTTAGGTTACCTGCAGATATAACCATGCTGAAGTGAATGTTAATTGTAGCACGGTTAAATCTACAGGTAATATGGCTAGCTCTACATTGAAAACACACTATGTTTATTTTCATTCTACCATGACCAAATAAACCACGAACTCTTTGGTGTTTGTAAATATATTGATTGAGTGCAATGTTTTGAGTGGGTTGTTGATCTGAATTACGGAATCACAGACAACAGCCTTAAAACAAAATATGGCGCTGTATATGTTCACGCAGTTTGTTCACTCGAACATATGGCAGGCTTTGAAAGCATTTAAAAACGGCAACTTGGTAAGCTAACATGAGGTGGGTACCCCCAAAGAAACAATCACTGGATTGTCTGGTCCAGACTCGATTATTTACAGATCGCCGACACAAAGCTGGAATATTGCTGAGTGCGGCGTTGAACAACAAATGAACAAAACAAACCCTAAATATAACTAAGCAAGCTTTACAAAGGTATCGTTCGACACTGAAAGTCACCATTATGACGTCACATCGCTCATTGTGACGCAAAGATATGACGTCACAGTCGTAAATAGGAAAGGACCAAATTCCAAGCTCTCCGTTGTCACAAAAAACTTAGAATACATTATCTTTGTAGATTTGTGTCGTGTTTTCTCTTCGAAATGTATTGACACACATCCTTTGAATATTTGGGTAACCGCAACTTTGCATTTTGTAACCTATATTTGTAGACCTAAATAAATATTCCTACCGACAATGATTGAAAAAAGGTGGTATTCTTTCAATATTAGCTTCCGCGGTGATGCGGCCGTCAAATCGGCTGTTTCCTTCAGAGGGGGTTTATTGTGGTTTGATAACACATTGACACATCAGAATCGAGTAATTTTCAAACGTTCTGTCAATCAGGGCCTCGATTTTCGGAACGATATCAGGTCTAAGATTATCGTAACGTTATCGTAAGGAAATCGTATCAATCAAGTATATTTTCCAAACCACCAACGGCGGTACATGAGTATATACATATAAACATTATACAGCATTCATATTTTCCCCTTCAGATACCATGATGCTTCTCTACGACAGCCATGGGAAACAAAACTGGGCATCAAAAGTTAAAAACATGTTATACGAATGTGGATATGGTTATATTTGTTTACAGCAACATGTAGATATGCCACAACATTTCTTCGCCCGAAATAAATAAATTAACCAGTTTGACGGTATGACAAGTTCCAGTATGGGCTGTTTCCTGTGTGATGTGGTTATATTTGTTTACAGCAACATGTAGATATGCCACAACATTTCTTCGCCCGAAATAAATAAATTAACCAGTTTGACGGTATGACAAGTACCAGTATGGGCTGTTTCCTGTGTGTTTCACGTGTAATGTTGGGGTTTTCGCCAGTAAAGTGACTTTGGTCATAAATCATAAGCAGCATTCAAACTGACCCAGCATACACCAGACTTGAACAATGCAGAATGTCTGCTGTTCGATCAAAGGCTCCATCATGGTCATTTAGAATAACTTCCCTTACTTTCGTCCTTGACTTTGTACGCCATGATTTTACGCAACGGCGCATTCTCGAGAATACCGTTTCAAGCGAAAATAGTAAAATTGTCGTTTCTCACAACATTTCTATTCTAATAGCTATAGTGTAGAAACTCTATTTCTTACATTTTTTTCTTTTCGAAAAATGTCTCTACAAAGAAAAGCATCAACGACGAGAGTGAGTTTGTATGGTTAACGTTGTACGCCGTTTTTAGCAAAATTTCAGCAATATCACGGCGGGGGTCAGTTGAAATGGGCTTCACACATTGTACCCATAAGGAGATTCAAACCCGGATCTTCGTCGTGACGGGCGAGCGATTTAACCTCTAGCTACCCCTCCGCCCTTAGAACGTTTAGAGCAATGAATGTATGACAACCCTGTTGCAGACTGTCATATTCAGTTACGCAAGAGTCGGCTCTGGAAATCAGCCTCCTGTTTCTGTGCATAATGAAGCGGTACAAATAGGGTTTTTTTCCCGATCAGCCTGTGCCTTCAGCAATAGCCGATATTCATTTGATAGTTGGTTAATACATTCGAAATCTACTTTTTAATTTTCCCTATCTATTGAGATTGTAAATGCCCAATGGTCGTGTTGTCCGAGACAGTGGTGGTTCTTTTACTTATATCACTTAACAAGGATGAAGTGTGATCCTGCAGTTAAAAGATCTGAAGCTAACTTTGTTATTGGTTGTGGTCAGATTGAAAGTACGCATATGAAAACCTAGCTTTGAATTTCACCGCTTAAGAAATAGCTAAATCTGCAAATGGACCGCTAGGGGTGTTTTTATATGTAATTTTAAATCAGTTAGTGGTTTGGCTTATAACGTATACAATACTTTGTATGATAACCTAGTCCAGCCTATCTTATCTTATGGATCAGCTACTTAGGGTACAGGGGAATTCAGCTGTATTTATGTTGTCCAGAACCGAACATGCAGGTTTTTCGTAGCAGTCGGCAATAAATCCCCAAACTTAACTGTTTCGTGGTGCAGTTGACCGGTCATCTTCACTTACCAAACACAGAATACAAATATTTACGGTGCTATCCTAAGTAAAATCTAATGTTAACCACGGGAATCTATATCTTAATATGTACATGTATCTTAAGTCGGTCATACAGACCCTGAAACAAATATATCTAATACAGCCAGCCCATGCAAGTCTATAATGTTCGGCAAGTCTAGATTACCGCAGTATCAGTCTCTTGGCTCCTTTTTATTATATTTCATAACTATAACTTAGCAACTGTTTTTCTGTAAAAAATGTTCATGTCAGAGACTAGATGTTAGTAGATGTATATTGTTATTTTATGCATATGTGTATGTAAGCTGTGTCGCAGTGCTTTGTGTCTCATAGACCATATGACCTGACCTTGTATACTTTTTATGAATATTTTAATAGTTATTCTGGCAGTTACAATGTTTGACACTTTAACAAAATCATTTTCTTCTTCCACTGTAAACAGGCCTATTAAGTATTGCTGCTGCAACACGTGTTAGCCATCTTATTGCCTGTTATGATTGGTAACTAATCCTGTGTATTTCAATATAATGTATTGATCGTCATTGAACTTGTGTGGTTAGTTACCGAGTTCTCAATTTATTTCGTATCTACATCTGGGTAAACCTTCGCGTTTGGGAATAACAAATTAATAATGTAATTGTATACACACTATATTCAACTATCAATAAAAACCTAGTGAGGAAGAAATATTATGTGTCTTTTCTACAAGGCCAGTGCCTTTATATAACCTGTTACATTCCTATCTCAGCTAACCTTTGTGGAAATGTGTACTGGACCTTTAAGATTAAGAATCATCTGGTTGGCTAGCTAGGCTCATCGCAGACCAAACAGTGAATGGGATTTCTCCCGGGAAGCGCTGCCTAGTCAAACGCACCCAGAACGTTTCAGAGAATGTGAACACTCTCCTGTTACATTCCTATCTCAGCTTTTGTGGAAATGTGTACTTGACCTTTTAGATTAAGAATCATCTACTTGGTATTCGATGATGGTTCTGCTCTGAATTGTGATAAGGTTAAATGACAAGAGTAAAACATTAAAGTGTTGTATGACACAAGAGATTCGGGGACACTGGCTGATTACACCAAACCATATGGTTTGAAATCAGTTACTGACATGAGCAATAAGGCTTAACAAAAAAATAACACATCAATAAAGGTATAGAAGGAAATGGCAGAAACAAATTGAATTAATAGGAATGTTTAACGCAACCGCTTCTCTGTTCGCAAGCGGTGTCAAAGGATACGCTTTTGCATAGACAATACAAACTTGTTTTGTTTCACTGATCTGAGTTGTAGACTGACGAATAGCCGTATGTTTCTGTTGATGCCTTATCTGTCCTGGCTGACTCGTGTCAATAATATCTCTGCTGTCTCTTGTGTTACACTATTTATGTAATGATATATATGATGACATGATCTATACATGAGTCGTCAGTCACGGCAAAAATTAAAGAAGACTCAAACTAATGTCTCACTCCTCAATATAACATCTTGAACAAACATCAATCTACTGCAAATTTTGAAATTTAAGTTGGTTAGATTATGCACGTCACGAAATTGCCTTGACGTTTGGAATAGTGTTGGTATTCATGTACATGCACACATTTCGAAGTACTCCAAATAATGTGGAGCTTTACTCCGGAGAGTTTCTAG